TGGTTTTTAAAAATCCTCATTTCTCCCAGCTTTTTAATATTTTGCAAAATAAGCTCAAATAAACAAATAAAATTAAGACAACTAGCAATCAGAGGTTCTTGAGCAATGACTGAGAAAAGGAAAGTGATGGGGATAATTTTGCTCTCTAGCCAAAGTTTGGGGTTTGGTTAGGTCTGCTCATTTCAGTGGTATTATTTTATGACACAAACAATTTTGTGAGATCCACTAGATTTGTGTAAACTTTCAATGACCCCTTAATTCTTGTGACATATTAAATACTTGAGATTGACCTGACCAAAAATGATAGTTCACTTTGCTTTTGGTGCCAGATGGAAAACATTTTAAATATAAAGTTATTTTCTTTTAACTTATTAGTTTTTAATTAGGGAACATTTAAAATACACCATCCGTTCTTTGTTAACATACTTTCTTACTCTTATAAGCTCCCCTGTGAAAGCAGATTGCCAGAATAACATAATTTCTAATAGTATTGCACATAATTGCCACTTACCTTCACAAAAATGATGGGGCAAGTTTATGTCTAAATAGATTTAATACATAAGATGACTTAGGTTAAAAAATTAGGTGTTTTAATAAAATGTGTAGCACATAAGAAAGAAAAATTCATAGGTAAATCTCATATAACCCCTAGAATTCTTGAAAATAATTAATAGCATGAATGCTTCTAGGTCCCTGTGGATTAACCTTGTGTCCAACACTAAGATTCCTACATAAACAATTATTAATATTGCGCTTTTTGTTTTGTTTTGCTTTTCCATAAAGTATACCTTTTTTTCCTCTTAAACCTGGGAGTTTATATGAGCTCTACATTGTAGAAGCTGGGCCAGAAGCAATTACAGTATGAGATGAACAGCAATAAAAAAATGCCATATAAAGCAACCCACTATGCCATTCACCCACTTCATTTTCTTCAATATCAAAAACTCCTGGGAAGTAGGTTCATAGTTCTGATCTTTAAAACCATAGTATACAAACTGTCTCCCCATCTATCCTAAATTAACACTAATGTTAACTCAAATACGTCTGTGTCAACTATGATTGTCTTTGAAATTAAAGGAAAAAGGTAAACAGAATGTGCTTTGCTATGATCACTGGGGAAAATAAAGTTAACATGCTAAGCCAAACCAACTTAGGACGTTTTAAAGAGTAAGTGTAAACGTTTAGCTATAATAACAACAAATTCAAAAAATGCACATTAAAATGTTTACTTCAAAATTTAGACAATTCTATTTGTATATAGTCTTCACATCTGTTTTTAATGATATCAAATTATTGATTATTCATTTTTCTCATATTTATTTAAGCATTAACTATAGAATTTGCAATCTGATCTTTTTTTTTTTCTAAATCCTTTCAGTAGACTTTTATTTTTGCCAGGTTTTAGTCATATTTACTTTGATCTTTCAAAGTATGTAATTATTTTACTGTTTATTTACTTCTATGAGAAGAGAAAAAAATTTTGACCTACAAGATCTATATGTGGCAATTTGTAACAGAATCACATAGCTTATGTTTAGGAAATCATGGTTTTGATTAAGAAGCAACCATTTAGTTCCCACTGTTTTATTAAAACAGACATTAGAAGATAATAGGAAACATATTTAACAATGTAGAGTGCATTGAGTTTGAGCCATCAGTAAGTGAGCTTCAGATTTTCTTCTGCACTGAGCATCTGCAATGATATATGCATGCTGGTAACTATGGGATGGGAACAAGGGAGGGGTGGGGACACAAGAAAAGACAGAGGTCACTGGTGTCTGGGTTCTGAGGAAGAGCAGGGCACCGCACCCTGCTCGCGTGCTTGCCTGGAGCATGCCCATGGACAGAGGGGCCTGGCGGGCTGCAGTCCGCGGGGTCACGCAGAGTCAGCCGCGATGAGCGACTAAGCAGACGCAGTCCCAGGTGGAATTCTGGTTTGGCTACTTTATCTCCAGGCTGGAAACTCCAGGTTTGGTTTTTTTGTTGTTTGTTTTTTTCATTTTGAAAATGGATGGACACAAACAGAAATTTCACAAACAAAATCACTGCTTTCTCACGAGTAATGGATTCTACTAGATAGGAACCCCCACAGGGACATCTATTCATAGCATAAAGCTTCTATCAGTGGAAATGTTCCTGTATAGGTCCAACACTTCCTTTTCTCTGAAGGTTGAAGGTTAATAAAATGCACTTCTCTGGAGTGTTTATTTTCTGCACACCATTCTACCTGTCATGAATTCTTTGTTTTTCCTCCCACTCCCTTGGTTGATGAATCAACACCACTTGAACTGTTTTACGGCAGCTTGTGTTTACTTCACACATACCTTAACCTCCCCTTTTCTCCTCCTACTGACACACACACATGCACACACACACTTTTCAACAGCAACGACTAGCGCCCTCTCTTTGAGTAGCATGTGTACATAGCATCAGGCCGCCTCTTCAGGTGTGGATCCTTGACCTACTGAAATCAAGGCCTCAGTCTGCTTTTATGGCACTTAAAGAATTAACTGTGCATTTACTATCTCGAAGGAAAAAAACAGAGCTTGAAGAACTGAATCTCTAAGAAAGAAAGGAGAAAAGTAGAAGACATAAGTGTTAATGTGTATGTGAACATACATGCACACATATTCCGCAGTGGCAATTCTGAGAACACTATAGTGAAATTTCCAGTCTTTCTGAATTTAGAATTATACTCCACTGTTAAAAGAGTACGTACATTCTCTTCCTTTCTCTTATAATAGCAAGTAAATGAGATCTAACAAATGACCTTGAAGCGGTATGATTCTTTTGATTTTTTAGCCAAAGAGGATATTGTTCAAACATTTTAACAACCTGATTTTAAAGGAAAAACTTGGAGACAACACTTACAGAAAAGAAACACTTCCAAACTACACAATCATGTCTTAGAAGGAGGAATTATTCATCTTATCCTGTACAAGAGTTAATATTAGTAACATTCTGAAGCAAGTCCCCAAACTGGAAACTAGAAAGTCTAAAGAATTTTAGAATATGTTGAAAAGGAATGGATCTTAATGGAATTTTCAGTGAACTTAATTTCTACTGGGTAGTTCAACCTCTTGACTTTCCTTACAAATTATATATTTAGCACAAAATGCTCTCATTCCTTTGAAACCAGAAATGTGCCACCAATGGAAATAAAGTTCATTTGTTCAAAAGGTAACCTTGTAAACAAACTCCCAAAAGCAGCCAAGAGGCATTACTTTGACACTGTTTCCCTAGAGAAAACTTGCAGGGTAATAAAAACAAAGAAATTCTTCCTTTACATTACCTGTCCACCATAAACTGTCATTTAACCCTCTCCACAGGGGCAGTAAACCACTAGCAAGGCTCTGGATACCCAAATAAAGTGCAACAGATAATATCATAGTCACGCAAAATATGGCCTAGAAGGACCCTCAAACACCAATCTGTTCTGTTCCCCCAAATTCCCCCAATTTCCTCAGGGGCTAGTAGCATTTGAATTGGATAGCCTTTGAATTGGGGTGGGAAGAATAGAATTTTTCCAACACTGACCAATTTGCAATGGCATAATATGATTGATGTTTAATTTAAAGGGCTGGATGGCCTAAATAGTATGTCATTTATTATACTGATGATAAGAGAACTGTTTATTCAGTACCAGATATAATGCCACATATATTACTGCTAGTAGAACTACTACTATTAATAAACAACAACTAAAATAATGTAACAATGATTATGAGATTACTTTGTGCCAGTATTAAGGTATTTAGTCCTTGTAGCCAGTTAGCGACTTACTTTTTTTTTTTGCGACTTACTTTTATTACTTCCAATTTTCAGATGAGGAAACTGATTCTTGGTAAAGTTAAATAATTTATTCAAACTCACACAGTTAGCAAACAGAAGACAAAGATCTGAATACAAATTCTCCTGACTACAGAGTCCCTTTGCTTTAACCACTATTTTGGAATTGTCTCCAAATAAACACAATACCAAAACTCCACTTCTGATCAAAGACTTCCTGATACCACACATTCATTTCAGTTTGCTAATTGGTACTTAAGCTATAAGTGCTAATTTAACCTAGAATGACTGCTTTTAAATTACATTAATAAATTAATGAAAATGATTTATTGATTTGAGTTTTTAAAATAGACATGCCTGTCTAAAACATACCACTTCAAAATATTTTTAAATATTTCAGCCTTCACACACCTCTCCCTTGTGAAAACTATAAACTTCATACATTATGCTAAGAATTTAGTTTTAATGCCATATTAGTTTTAAGGGAGCCAATTTGAATCTCTTAATGAAAATGTTAAGAGAATCCTATCTTGTACCCCAATGCTCACAGCAGGCACTATTTACAACAACCAAGACAAGGAAGCAACCTAAGGGTCCATCAATGAATGAACAGATAAAGATATGATATTTACATACAACAGAATATTGTTACTCTGTCACAAAAATAGAATGAAACACTGCCATTTGCAGCCGCATGGATGGCCCTAGAGATCACCATACTGAGTGAAGTCAGACAGACTTATGCTATCATTTATTTTTTTGTTGAATCTAAAACAATAATAATAATACAAATGAACTTATTTACCAAACAGAAACAGACTCACAGACTTAGAAAATAAACTTATGGTTGGCAAAGGGGGAAGGGGAGATAAATTAGGAGCATGGAATTAACAGACAGACACCACTATATAGAAAACAAATAGCAAGGATTTACTGTATAGCCCAGGGAACTATATTCAATACCTTTTTGCTAATAACCTAAAATGGAAAAGAGTCTGGAAAAAAAAACTGAATCACTTTGCTGTATCCCCGAAACTAACACAATATTGTAAATCAACTTTTCTTCAATTTAAAAAAAATCCTACCTTGAGAAAAAATTACATAAATTTTTCATTAGAAAGTTATATCTAAATCAGCATAAATTCCCAAGAGTCAACAATTCCTTGACCTAAAAAACTGAAAATCAGCTTCAAAAATATAAACCAATTTACCTTTAATCTTCTTGTACTTTTTATACCATCTCCCAAACTCCTGGCACTTGGTTGCTGACACGTTGGCATAATATGTGCTATTTACAATGGATGAAATCATACTCTGCAAAGAAAAAAAAAACGGTTATTTTTGATATGAGTATTCCTTTTTAGGAACAAGAAAGGGGGCATTATAGTCTACACCAATCTCCTTTAAGTTTGAAAAAATCATTCTCCTACAAACTAAACTATTAAACACAATTACCAAAATTTACTATCCCTATAACTTGTAGATGACAGTGCTTTCTCCAAAAAAGTAACTGGGGGACAGTGTCAAAGAGAGGGGACAGGACATGCAGACTGACTGCAAAGGCAAAGAACAGTTGTGATTTAGGAACCCCAGCAAAAGGTGAGATCAGATGTTCCTGCATCTGTAATCCAAATAATGCCTTTCAGATATTTCTGTTCAGCTTCCAACTGCAATAAGCTTACACAGCCAAGAATCTGAGAACATCCGTGCTACACACTGCAGAACAACATTTAGGGAAATAAGTTAAATTAATATAATTTATAGAAACGTGTGATTAGCACTTGTGTGAAAATTCACCAAATGAAAAAATTAACAGTGCTATTTTAGAGCACGGGAAACTAAACATAACACTTGTACTGTGTTTCAACCAAAAATGCATCAAACTTTCTGAGTACTCAAGTACCCGATTCCTTCTTGCTCTTCATGCTCCTTTCTCTCCTCAGCTCAACCCCTTAGCTGATTTGTTTGAAAGTGCAGTTAAAAGGAAAGAGAAGGGGAATATAACCTGACTCACCACTGAAAAATTAAAAATTAGAACTGCACGTGTGTGCTCAGTTGCAAAGTTGTGTCTGACTTTTTGTGACCCCATGGACTGTAGCCCGCCAGATTCCTCTCTCCATGGGATGTCCCAGGCAAGAATACTGGGGTGGGTTGCCATTTCCTTCTCTAGGGAATCTTCCTGACCCAGGGATCAAACCCGCGTCTCCTGCATTGGCAGGAGGCTTCTTTACCACTGAGCCACCAGGGAAGCCCTATAACTGCACATCTTGAATTAAATTTCACACAGAGGTACGTTTTCAGTCAATATGGCATGCTTGGACCAACATTCGTGGCGGATGTTAACTTATACCTGAATGAATGTAATAGTATGTGTGTATGTTTTGCACACAGATTTTATTTCTGCAAATTCTGTCTAAAAGCAAATGGACACAAACAAGTCAAGAAATCCAAATGACCTATGTAAGGCTTTATATCCTGCCTTGAAATCTCATCTTTCTTACAAAAGGTTTCCCCAGATATGAAGCAGTTGAAGGAAATCGTAGAACTTCTAATGGCATTTTGACAAAGTAGTCAAGATAAAAAGCATAACAATAAATGAAGGCATTGGCAACTTATTTACCAGGAAGTTCAAACACCAGTAGACAGTCTTGCCTAGACTCCCATATAAGAGTTTCCTCTCTGAGTTCACAGGCTCCCTCTTTTTTAATCACTACACAGTACTGATGAGGGGAGTGGGGATTCCTAATTCAATTCACAGAAATCTCTTTGGTTCTTTCTATACAGCAGATGGCTGTCCTGCCTGCAGTCGCTGATTTCTAAATGACAATTCTGTTCTCTATGGGGAGATAGTAAAGAGAACTCTTTTAATCTGAGGCTCTGAACACAGCCCTGGAAACACAAAGAGCCAGTATCACCTGAGTGTATCGCAGAACCTCCGAGCCTTGCAAGCTACCTTAGAGGATCGGTGGAACCCTAATCTTCCTGAGACAGGGTTTAGCTTTGTGTCTTACTAACAAGGAGTAGAGAACTCTCTTGGCTAGCTGGGCTATTTCCTTCCTTCTCTGGGCTGAGCTTTCCTCTCTGTCCCAGTCTGTGAGACCCTTGAAGACAGTGACTGTGTCTCTTTCTTTTGTTCCTTGTGCCTAACACAGCTCTGAGGTGGGATATCTGAGTCACCAAAATGAAACAGATGAAAAGGGACAAAGATGAAATTTTAAAATGCCAAACTGAAATGTCATAATAATGAAAAATTTAACATGAAAGCAGTCTAATAACAGATGCACCAGCCACTCTAGTGTATGTGAATAATTACAGATGTACTTGTCATCTTTCTTTGTGGTTTGCATGAATCTTACCCTCTGCAAAAGCATAAGATATATAGCTATAGCAGGAGTCAGAGCTAAACCTTCTATTGCAAAGTGTCCTAGAAAGCTGATTAAAATGGAAAGTGTTTTAAGTCCTGCCTGGAGCTGCCCCTCAACTCTCCCTGGCCCATAACACCAGGAAACAAACCCATATCAGTCTGGTCCCAAATGATCCACATTTCTCCCACTTCCTGGCCTCCCTACTTTGTCGTTATTCCAGATGCATCTTCATTAACACTCTCGTCTTAGTGGCTAGTGTCAATCTATTTGGCCGAGAGGAGATACCCACGTCCACGTTAAGAGAAAGTCCATTAAGAGAGTAGGCACTGAGAGAGGGCATCAGAGGGCAGACAGATGGAAACCACAATCACAGAAAACTAGCCAATCTGACCACAGCCTTGCCTAACGCAGTGAAACTAAGCCATGCCACGTGGGGCCACCCAAGATGGACGGGTCATGGTGGAGAGGTCTGACAGAATGTGGTCTACTGGAAAAGGGAATGGCAAACCACTTCAATATTCTTGGCTTGAGAACCCCACGAACAGTATGAAGAGGCAAAAGATAAGGCACTGAAAGATGAACTCCCCAGGTCGGTAGGTGCCCAATATGCTCCTTGAGATCAGTGGAGAAATAACTCCAGAAAGAATGAAGGGATGGATCCAAAGCAAAAACAATACCCAGTTGTGGATATGACTGGTGATAGAAGCAAGGTCTGCTGCTGTAAAGAGCAATATTGCTCTTTATAACCTAGAATGTTAGGTCCATGAATCAAGGCAGATTGGAAGTGGTCAAACAGGAGACGGCAAGAGTGAACATCAACATTCTAGGAATCAGCAAACTAAGATGGACTGGAATGGGTGAATTTAACTCAGATGACCATTACATCTACTACTGTGGACAGGAATCCCTTAGAAGAAATGGAATAGCCATCATAGTCAACAAAAGAGTCTGAAATGCAGTACTTGGATGCAATCTCAAAAACGACAGAATGATCTCTGCTCGTTTCCAAGGCAAACTATTCAATATCACGGTAATTCAAGTCTATGCCCCAACCAGTAATGCTGAAGAAGTTGAAGTTGAACGGTTCTATGAAGACTTGCAAGACCTTCTAGAACTAACACCCAAAAAAGATGTCTTTTTCATTATAGGGGACTGGAATGCAAAAGTAGGAAGTCAAGAAACACCTGGAGTAACAGGCAAATTTGGCCTTGGAGTACGGAATGAAGCAGGGCAAAGGCTAATAGAGTTTTGCCAAGAGAACGCACTGGTCATAGCAAGCACCCTCTTCCAACAACACAAGAGAAGACTTTACATGTGGACATCACCAGATGGCCAACACCGAAATCAGATTGATTATAGTCTTTGAAGCCAAAGATGGAGAAGCTCTACACAGTCAGCAAAAACAAGACAAAGAGCTGACTGTGGCTCAGATCATGAACTCCTTACTGCCAAATTCAGACTTAAATTGAAGAAAGTAGGGAAAACCACTAGACCATTCAGGTATGACCTAAATCAAATCCCTTTTGATTATACAGTGAAAATGAGAAATACATTTAAGGGACTAGATCTGATAGACAGAGTGTCTGAGAAACTATGGACAGAGGTTTGTGAAACTGTACAGGGGACAGGGATTAAGACCATCCCCAAGAAAAAGAAATGCAAAAAAGCAAAATGGCTATCTGAGGAGGCCTTACAGATAGCTGTGAAAAGAAGAGAAGTGAAAAGCAAAGGAAAAAAGGAAAGATATACCCATTTGAATGCAGAGTTCCAAAAAATAGCCAGGAGAGATAAGAAAGCCATCCTCAGTGATCAGTGCAAAGAAATAGAGGAAAACAATAGAATGGGAAGGACTAGTGATCTCTTCAAGAAAATTAGAGATACCAAGGGAACATTTCATGCAAAGATGGGCTCAGTAAAGGACAGAAATGGTATGGACCTAACAGACAGAAGATATTAAGAAGAGATGGCAAGAATACACAGAAGAACTGTACAAAAAAGACCTTCACGACCCATATAATCATGATGGTGTGATCACTCACCTAGAGCCAGACATCCTGGAATGTGAAGTCAAGTGGGCCTTAGGAAGCATCACTACGAACAAAGCTAGTGGAGGTGATGGAATTCCAGTTGAGCTATTTCAAATACTAAAGATGATGCTGTGAAAGTGCTGCACTCAATATGCCAGCAAATTTGGAAAGCTCAGCACTGGCCCCAGGACTGGAAAAAGTCAGTTTTCATTCCAATCCCAAAGAAAGGCAATCCCAAAGAATGCGCAAACTACAGCACAGTTGCACTCATCTCACACGTTAGCAAAGTAATACTCAAAATTCTCCAAGCCAGGTTTCAGTAATAAGTGAACCGTGAACCTCCAGATGTTCAAGCTGGTTTTAGAAAAAGCAGAGGAGCCAGAGATCAAATTGCCAACATCTGCTGGATCATCGAAAAAGCAAGAAGTTTCAGAAAAACATCTGTTTCTGCTTTATTGACTATGCCAAAGCCTTTGACTGTGTGAGTCACAACAAACTGTGGAAAATCCTTCAAGAGATGGGAATACCAGACCACCTGACCTGCCTCTTGTTAAATCTGTAGGCAGGTCAGGAAGCAACAGTCAGAACAGGACATGGAACAACAGACTGGTTCCAATAGGAAAAGGAGTACGTCAAGCAAGGCGGTATATTGTCACCCTGCTTATTTAACTTCTATGCAGAGTACATCATGAGAAACGCTGGGCTGGAAGAAGCACAAGCTGGAATCAAGATTGCTGGGAGACATATCAATAACCTCAGATATGCAGATGACACCACCCTTATGGCAGAAAGTGAAGAGGAACTAAAGAGCCTCTTGATGAAAGTGAAAGAGGAGAGTGAAAAGGTTGGATTAAAGCTCAACATTCAGAAAACTAAGATCATGGCATCTGGTCCCATCACTTCATAGCAAATAGATAGGGAA